TCTATTACATATTTTCAGCAGGGTGTAATGAATCATTAAATGTCTTATGCATTGTACATGTTCCCCTTAGATCTACGCCAGAGGACGGCAGCTCAAAGGAACTTAAGTGTGTCTACCCCAGTAAACCCCAACCAGGGATCTCCACAAGTTCCAGGGCTGCTGGCGGCAACTCCGGGTCTTCAAAGGGACACCTCAGCTCCTGGTGGACCCCCTGAGCGGACTGTTCAGCCAGGATTACAGTCAACCCTCGTACTGAGACGCCCTGGAACGCTTTCTCCTGCCATATCTGGAATGGGTAAACAGAGCACTTACTGTTATTTACAGTTTATATAGTTTTCTCTGGTTACCAATAAACTTGGTAATATTCAGACACCATGGAAATGGCATTTCATTTGGAAATAGGAGCACAGTTATCTGATTAAGCAGGAGTTCCATATTCAATTAGCCATAACTCTTTACAGCTGGCACCTTGTGATACTGAAGCCTATTGCTAGAGCTCGTTTAACTGTTATGGCTTCTTTGTTTAAATGGCAATAAAACTTTGCAGTATTCTGTAGTCAACGATATATAACATACCTTTTTACAGCCCTGGGTTTAGGAAAGCTTCAGATTTTATATGGATCCGTTATAAAGGCAAACACGTCTAGAATATATATTCTAACTTTACTAATACCTGCAGTTTAACACTTTTTTTGTTTGTTTTTTTGTTTCTTTATTCTTAGAAGTAAGCCTAATTAGACCGTTGAAACAAATCAAATATCTGTCTGATAAGATTGCAAATGTGGGCAATGTTAACAGCTTATGAATTAATGTTTTAGCAGTTTGGTGGGTGGGGGTGGTATAAAATGTTTTTACTTTATTGGCATGTTTACTTACTGCTGGAGCCAGCAGTTATGCTTAATTAGTCTGAAAAGAGCTGGTAATCAAATGTTACTTTCTACAGCAAAGTACATCTTCCGATTGCTATGAATTGGCCAATAGCTCTCCTGGATTATTTCTTTCAGAAAAAAAATGGGTCAGGCTGGATTTTTTTTTACGGTTTTGGAATAATGCTGGCTTTAGGGTAACCCGTTCTGTGCAAAAATATGCCTGACTCGTTTATGTGAGTGTATTTATGCACAGAGGCTGGATTTTCCAAGTATGTGATATTTACTGATGGTGGCGTAGTAATTTTGGTTGCTATTCCTGCACACTTGGTATTGGGCCCTGTACATTTGCCATAATTAAAGGAGAACTATGAGGTGAGTGCTTTAAACTCACCTCATAGTTCTAGCCGACCTGTGACAATGAGACTGTCGAGAAGTGAGCGAACGCATACCGGCGTTTCCTCACCTCTCGATCCTGTCACAGCTCTCTGCCGTGACAGGGGAGGGGCTGGAATCCCCCCTCCGATCCGCCAGCGCTGACTGGCGGAACGGACGGGGAGGGGGCGGGTACAGCTGGCTCTGCCTCTAGATAGGCGGAGTCAGCTGTCAGTCACGCAGCTGGGCGGATCCAGACATAATTGTCGGGATCCGCTGCGGCGTCTCAGTATACCGCGAGCAGCAGCTACAGCTCATGGTACACTGAGCCTAGGGTGACGGGAGGACGCTAGTTTAACATGCTTTCAACCGCTGCAAAAATACACCGGTAGAAACAGGTCTTTACTGACTTCATGGGGAAACAATCTTGCCTTTTAGATACTACTTGCTCACCTTACCAGCTTCTCATAGCAGGGACTGTGGGTGGGCTGCAGTGCCACCGGCAGACCACATTACCCTGCAAGCTTTGCTGTGACTCTTATGGCTGCAGCAGCAGCTTGTCAGAAGATTGACATGTAGAACATGTCCAGAAGTCATTCCCTCGCTCGCACTCCCTCACTCAACAGCTGAGAAGTTTTATGAATTGCTGTCACTGAAAAGTAGGAGGATGGACTGGCTGTGATACCACTGATTTGGGGGTGACAACACTGAGCCAGTGGTGGGGTTGCGTCCACCACACAGCTCTGTACATCTGTGGCTGCTCAATGGAAAGGGTGTCATTGCTGTGTATGATTTCCCAGGCAGCTTTCAGCAGTGTCCCACAAGAGCAGGAAGCAGAATTTCAGCAATCTTAATGGTGGGATCAGTAGTTCTAAAGAGCACTGTTCTCTTTAAGGTTATAACGCTATCTTTCTTGACCTAACATTTTCTTTTCTAAACTGCCTTCACATGTTTTTGGAGACAGGCTGATTATTGTAGACAGTAAGAAAAGTTGAAGTTTGATGTGTTCCACTTAACCAAATTATTTTTGACATATGATCAGCCTGATTTTCAGATGAAACAATTTCACCGATGGTCTTCTGTAGGTAAATGGCCGTTTGTGAATTGGCCAATTGCCGAAGTAAAGTTTTTTTTTTTTTTTTTTTTTTTTTTTTAAAAACAACTGGACAATGAGTTTGGGTATTTTTTTTTTTTTTTTTTTTTTTTGTAAAAACTACTGGTACATGAGCTTGGGTTAAAGTTGTATTCTGTTTATCTATGATACGGATATGGGGTTACACAGTGGCCAAGTTGTCAGGCTGCAGTTGTTGTAGAAAGGTAGAAATGAATGTATGCCTGAATTGCTTATCCATTGTTGAAGTCTGGCCACTTACTGTGAGCTGAGCAGCTGGGATGCTTGTCCATCTCAAGCCTGAGTAGCAGATGCCAGTTTGTTAAATCATACTTACACTTTCAGGTTTGCCAAACTAAGATGACTGGGTAAACATTTCACTGTAAGCATGTGTCTTTTGTACTAAATTTGTAATGAAATATGAAGTTGCGGCTAAAAACCTTTTTACACACAGGTCAGAGTTTTTATGCATGTTTATTGCCTTTTTTAAATTTGCTAGCTTTCCACAGAATGTATCCTGCTTCATCACTATGCATGTATTGTAGCTAAGCCAATAGATCTCATGGTCTTTAAGTGCCTCTGTTCATATCTCACACTATTTTGTGGAAGGAAAAATCAATTCCACCCTTGTTCGCAACTGTGTTCCCATATGTTGGAAAATTAATAACCAGCAGGTAGTTGAGAGAATGCCAACCCTACAGAAATGGCCATTCGTCCAGCAATGATTGCTTTGATGTTTATATTAATTACTGTTGTTGGTAACAGCGTGAGCAGCAAGATACATCGCTGGAGAGGCCCATGTCTTTTGCTTATTAAAGGATTGGCTACATGGTGGAAAATTGCCTGAACTGTTGGCTCTCTGTAGCACCATGGTGGTTTTTCTAGCAAAACTGTTATATCAGTGTCAGTATCAGTGTATATAAAATGTAAGATCTATAAGCACTGCTTGAGTCTAAAATTGCCTAACAACCCACCTCCATTAATTCAGTTTAAAAAAGCAAAAGAAAGCATTTTTCAAGTTGAAGGATTTTTATGTTTTCACCATTCTGATATCAAAATGTATAATGATTTTAATGTAAACCCTTGATATCTGCTACTCTGCTGTGTAGCAAATTGGTGTAATTGGGTTAAAGTGGTATCCGGTTATAGACTGCATATCAGCTGAAATGTAGTTTTGTTTAAAGCAGACTTGTTCTTCATATACAGTGAATATAAAAAGTCTACACGCCTGTAAAAAAAACAAAAAAAAACCTTTAGCTGACACCGCCATATGGCATATGTTGCTGGCAGCGGGGCCCCTTTAGCTGCCGGGACTCTGTTTGCATGTGTAAAGCTGACTGACGGCTTTACACTGGAAGTGATTCTGGCGGCTAAGCTGTTGCCAGATAGCTTCCAGGGGCCAGTGAAGTGCACGATCTGCGCTAAAATAGCTAATTTGCAGTGTAAAGGTGACCCTAGGGTCTAATTAACCCCCAATGTCACCTAAAGAGTACCTGTCACCACTGTTATGCTATCACATAGGGGACTTGTAAGCCTCTCTGTGATGGCAATTAAGTAAAGTTTAAAAAAAGTTGAACTTTTTTTTTGTTTTTTTTTTGCACACATTATAATCCACATTTTAGGCCTGAAAATTGTTTAAAACCGCCAAACATTATATATTTTCTGTAAGCAAAAACCCTGTAGAATAAAATGCTGACATTTGCATATTTTTATGTTGCACGATATTAGTGCAACTCTTTATCAAACCCAAAAATTTGCTTAATTTTAATGCCCAAAGCCATAATATAATACCATTTTTATGGATACCCAACATGCCCAAGTAAATTGTCTGCGTCCGTGAAACGGCAACAAAATATTGTACCCCAATTTGTCCATAGGCGATGCTTTAAAAGCCTGTACGGGTCTTCAGTTTAGAGATCCACAAATATTGGCCCTTGAATTATTGGTCTCACTCTGGGGTGTGCGGCGATACCAAAAATGTGTAGCGTTTTCGTATGTAGGCGCACCCGACGTGTGTTTGCATTAATGCGGGGGTGGGGGACTTTAAACATTTTTTATTTTTACATTTTGCTATGATTCAATTTTTTTTTCTTTATTGCCATCACATAGGGGCATTACAAATGAAAAGCTATAGCCAGGGCTTGAAAAATTTCAGGGTGTCTCACCAGTCAGTCAAAAATTTCACCAGTCGGCATGACCGGACTATTGGCCTTGCAATTTATGTTAAAAATTTTTGGGGACAGATGGAGCTTTCTTTTGGAGGTATATAATCACCTCGGGGTTTTTTTTTTTTTTTTTTACTATACAACGAAAAAAGTACCGTAAATGTAAAAATGTTTTTTTTTTGCCACAAAACTTTTATTGCTATTACGTCGGGGGCTAAGAAGCCCCCGATATAATTGCCAATTTACATGACAGGTCCCGGCCGCATCAGGCACAGCGGATCTTGGGACCGGCAGTGACAGCTGCTAATACAAGCGATCGAGCGTCTCTAGAGATACCCGATCGCTTGAATGTAAAGCTCCCGGCCAGCCGTGTAATTACAACAGCCGGCCGGGAAGCTGCTCGTCAGGCTCCACCGACCTCTCGCCGTGGACGAGTGGATTTTTCATGCCCTGGCTATAGCTGCCAGGAGTTTGTTTAAAGGGGCCAATTGGCACAGAAAGACATGTTGGTGGCAGCAAAAGGGATAAAGGCCCCTGCAAGCGTATGCATATTAATATAAACGCGTGTAGGGAGGAGACGATTGCCCTACATATGTTAGGTATTGCTGCCCGCAACAGAGTGAGAGCAATAATTCTAGGGCCAATATTCACGGATACTGTATCTCTAAACTGATGACCTGTATGGGCTTTTAAAGCGTCGCTTGTGGACAATTTTGGGTACAGTATTTTGTCGCCATTTCAGACATGCAATTTTTTTCTTGGGCATATTTGTTGTAACCTCATCTTTTATATTTTACAAGAAAAATGGGTATTATATTTTTGGGCACTAAAATTAACTGACGTACATTTGTCTCTAAATTTTTGGGTTGTATAAGGCTGGGTTCACACCTAGGCGTATCCAATATGCGAGTTTCGTGACACGCGGTTTTACGGCGATTCGCGGAAAAACGCTCGTTTCCGAGGGCTACCTGGCTGTATCCCAATGGATACGTGTGGCAAATACGCCCCAAAGAAGCTCCTGTACTGGGCGTAGGGCGTTTTGTAGCGCGTTCATACGACCTGTAATACGCCCAGGTGTGAACCATACCCATAGGAAATAATGGGATTTCAGTGTTTGAGCGTTTTGCAGAGCGTAGGAACGCGCTACAAAACGCCCAGGTGTGAACCGGGCCTAAAGTTGCACTAATATATCGTTCGATTAAAAAAATTTGCAACTGCCCACATTTTATTCTACTGGGTTTTTTTTTCTTCAGGTCAAGTACATTTTCTGCAAGTACATAAAAAGCAAAGTGATTGCAGCCACCACGTCGAAGAACTGCCAAGATGGGATATATTCAATTTTATTTTGGGGCTTTAGCTGGTTGACTAAAGATCAATATAGAAGTTCTAAAATAGTTTTAATGCGAAATAAAATTATAATTGTGTGATCTCTATCCATGTAATAGCTATCCATCCACCGGGACCTTCATTGGCAAGACCAATTCTTCCGAGAGAGAGGGGTGCCCTAGACAGAGTTATCGAATATCTGGTTGGAGATGGTCCCCAGAACAGGTAATGGCATCTAAAAGCCTGTTATTCCTGTTTATAACTAAAGTTATGCAAAAGTCCTTTTTAGCCCCTACCTATAAGTGGATCTGTACTCAGTGAAGATTTACTATCTTGTAGGGAATATCTACACATGTTAATGGTGTCTAAGCAGTACTCAAAAATGAAAGAAAAATCAACCCTTTGTCTTTAACTCCAATTATTTAAGTACTGTACAGTTCCTCCTATTATTCTTACAGTACAGTTATGCTTAAGTATTACCCTGGCACTGTAGCTGTCAAGGTAATACTCGTGGGTAGTAATAATTGTGCGGTACTGAAATAATTGGAGGCACTGTTGCTATGCTGTAATGACTGTCAGCAGTTTTGTTGTACTGTGATAATAGTGGATTGTGTGGGTGTTTTTGTAAACAATTGTGGCCACTGTGGTGGTACTGAAATGGGTGTGGGCATTGTTGCTGTACTGTGTTATTGTGGGAGCCGCGGCTATACTGCAATAAGTTGTTAGGCAAAGTTGTGTGACTGTTAATGGAATAGCTGACTGCTGGGAAAATAAGGTTATAAAGCTGGGAGGAAGCGCCTCTAGACAAAATAAATGATGGTGATAGTGCAGCTCTGCAGTAATCTACCATTTAACCATTTTTTTTTTTGGTAAACTATATAAGGAGTTGTCTATGAACTGCCGAGCAATTTCCAAGATAACTGCACTAGCATTGGACATTAGTTTATCAACCTAGCAGGCCTCTCTGTTTAGTGCCTTTGCCAACATTCTCCCAATTAGGGCTTCTAATGTGAAAGGACAATTGCAATGTATTGCTGTTGCCACTCCCATAGCTTAGTGGTCCCATAGTTTTGCAAGTCCTAAATACATGAAAATGCAATGTTTGCAAAGCGATGGCAATGCATATACAGTAGTTTCATGTTTCTGATTACAGATACGTTAAATGTAAAAAAAAATAGAGGATCTATATGGGAATACATACTGTATTAGATTTCATGGATCATTAATACTTATAATAGCATTTCTATACCCATTAAATAAGTTGCAAATGTGTTAGTCAAGCAGTCATTAATTTGATCATCATTAAAATGGGGAGTGAAATGAAATATAATCATGACATTAAAAGGGAGTAGAGCTTAATAGCTTTTAAAATATGCTTTTGGGAGATGGAATAAGATAGTGAGAACATGAAAATGAGGATTGCATTTAATTCATATCATTAAATTATGTAGTTTGTGTGCAGTAGTGTACCACCTTCTCATTCCAACAATTGCAGTGCTTGGCTAGGCTTCAGTTAAACGTAGATGAAGGTATAGACTGTAATGGTGGCTTAAACTGTAGAGGAAAATCGTAGCGAGGCCGTGCTTCATCTTCCCTACATTTGTAGAAATAGGTTGAATCCGATCTTTTCAAGCATTGTTGCCCTACATGTAGACCTCTTTTACGCCTGGAGTACCTCATACATAGGATTTTAGTAATTGAATCCCTTGGTTACTGTATGTTTCAGAAAAGCAAGGAACACTGTACTATAAGCCGTAATTCATGGAAGAGGGCATCTACACTGAGGCAAGGGCTACATATTTCCCCTGTATGGGCCCCTGACCTGAGAGAGGGTGCTGCATTCTGTTGACTTGTGTGGTACATGGGTTGTATTTTAACTAGGGATGCACCGATACTAGATTGGTATCGGTGCCGATACAGAGTATTTGCCTAGCCCGATACTTCCTGTATCCGGAAGCCGGGCAGCATGTCATTACACACTGCCCAGCTTCCTGATTGGCCAGGAAGCCGGCTCCATGCTCCCTTGTCACTTGCGACGAGAGAGCATGGAGCCGACTTTCCGGCCAATCAGGATGCCGGGCAGCGTGTAATGATGCAGCGCCCAGCTTTCCGATTGGCCGGGAAGCCGGCTCCATGCTCCCTCGTCATGAGATGACGAGGGAGGATGAAACCGGCTTCCCGGCCAATCAGGAAGCAGGGTGCCACGTCATTACACAGCGCCCGGCTTCCATGATTTGCCAGCTAGCCGGCTCCATGCTTTCTTGTCATAGTGACGAGAAGCATGGGACGGCTTCTTGTTAATCGGGAAGCGGGTCATTACACGCCGCCTGGCTTCCTGAATGGGACTTCCGGTACTCGGTATTTGGTATCGGCGAGTAACGAAAAAAAAAAATAGGCTTAAAGGAGAACTATGAGGTGAGTGATTTCCACTCATCGTCATTGTTGGAACAGACGTCTGCCAAAAAACTGTCGCAGGACGGTTCTATTGATCGGGAAGTGAGCAGAAACATGCACCAATCTGCTCACTTCCCTATTATCTCCCTGCACTGAGTGGTGACTGTCTCAGATTCTCCAGAGTGGAGAAACAAATATGGATGGGGACAGCTGGCTCCTGCCTCTAGATGGGCAGAGCCAGCTGTCACTCGTGTAGCTGGGTGGATCATAACAGTATTGTCGGGATCGATCCCGACTGCAGCGCTTTTAGTATATCGCGGGCTACTGAGCTTTGGGTCACAGGAGGAGGTTAGTATATGTTCTCCCATGACCCTAAAGAGAACTATGGGGAAAAACACTTACCCCATAGTTCTCTTTTAGGGATAAGGTTAAACCCTTTCTTATCAAGGCACATTCTACTAGACTAGTAAGTGCTTCTCAGGCCATTCAGCATCAGGAAGCAGTTTGTCAGATTTTTCAAAGCTGCCACCTGATCTTCCATTCATAAGTAATGTCATTTTTAACTGGTGAATATTTGTTTAAGCCTCTGCTGATGCATGCTTTGGCTGTAAGGTCTTCCTAGCAGGCTGCCCTCAGTTATTACAATGTTATGTGGGCTGTTGGCGCTTTTTGTTTGTGGTGTTGCTCACCACTCTGAGGACATCTCGGTTGGTTGTCTTGATTCTGTGTCCCTTTTTTAATGAGTGAAAAAAAAAACAAGCGTTTTGAACACCCCTTAAAATCAGTTTCTTGAATTAAGACGGGGCTTGACAAATCCCAGGCGCCAGGTAGCCAATGCGACTAGACATTGTGTCCTGGTGCCTTTTTGCTTTTGTCTCGTTCACTGCCCATTTCTTCTCTGCTGCTTTTAAGATTCTTTGTTGCTGTGGGTCCTCCCACGCTTGTCATTTTTCAGCTCTCCCTCCCCGCTAGTCCCCACGTGCGGTGCTGAAGAAAAGTAGGGAGGTGAGCAGAAGGTAGTTTGTATTAATATCAATACTGCTGTGTTTACATTTAGCTGCCTCAGCAAGCAGCGGTCATTCCCCATCTAAAGATTTTGAATTGGAAAAGTGACACTAGGGGTCCAATGGACCCCTCATGTCACCTTAAAGACCTGTCCTCTCCAGAGTAAAAAAAAAAGGACATTTTGGAAAAAAAGGGAATTTAAAAAACGCCAAAAAAAATGTAAATTCTTCGCCCCGTGAACGCGAAAAAACCTGGTGACTAACTTTTTTCTTTTTTTTTTTTTGCTGGCTCCTAGATTCAAAGAAAATTGTCAGGCCCTGCATTAAGAGACGCATGTCCCAACCCTCTGAGTGTGTGACCTACATCTAACACTTCTGAACAAAATTGAAGCCTCGTGGGAGGGGAATATAACTGGCTGGCTAACTGTTTTGTTTGCCAATGTCCAAATCCTCCTGAAGGCAGCAACATATCCCAATTGCCTTTTGATTTACTTCTGATCTGGTCTCTTAATGAACTCCAAGAAACTGATTTTATGCCGAGTACAAAAATTTATTTGTTGGCTGGGAAAACCTGATGGGGATATTTTGATCTTCATTTATTTCATTTTTGATTTTTTTTTTCTTTAATAAATGTGCATTTAGTCTAAATGCTTTTGTTTCTTTTTAAAGGTATGCCCTGATATGCCAGCAATGTTTTTCTCATAATGGAATGGCACTCAAGGAAGAATTTGAGTATGTTGGTGAGTATTCATTAATAACACTGGTGACTGTCCAGATACAATAATTTTGTATAAATAAGAGGTTTTCCTCAATATAGCCTTTTAACATGGTATGTTTTATTTGAATTTCTAAATGAGGAATACAAACCCGTACAAAGGTTATTTTGTGATGACGTATTGCCATCCTGAAAGGTAACAATATCTAATTACATTAAGGAGATTATCCATGAAAACAAAGTATATCTAAAGGTAATTTTGTTTTTTTTAATGGATAGGTTTGGGAAAGGATAAACTCCCAGGGATTATTTCTTTTTCTATGACCGATATATAAATGATTAGGGCTTGTTTTAGGTTAATGTTAGTTGACAGGCCATTGTTCTTTTCAGTGCCAGGGTTGGTGTCAGTGTGTTTTTAGGTAGGATATAAAAAAGCAAAATGCGCGGTTTCCTGCCCTACTATGGGTAGTAACTAGAGGTGCGCCAAAATGGAAATTTCCAAACCAAAATAAAAAAAATTGTCAGGCCGAAACGAAAGATGTTTTTTATTTTATTTTTTTCACATTTTTCAAATTTAATTTTTTTTATAAACTTTTACATTTTTGTATATTCATTTTTTATTAAACATTTTTTTACTTTACTTTTAAAGGGCTTCTGGGAAATATTGGATCTAAACAGACTCCTGATATTTCACTTTTAAAATAGAGGACTTTGAGGACACTATCTCTTTTTCTGTATCCCCTGTTATCAATGAACAAGAATCCTCTATACTGAGTGTTCCTGTTCATTCATAACTTGAACAGAGTATATTTACTATAACCACAACTATGAATGAACAGGAGGTGATTTAGATCACTTCCTATTCATTCATATTTGAGGATATAGTAAACATACCATGTCCTTTTATGTACAAACACTCAGCGGTCACTGAGTGTTTGTACTCGTCTCCTTCCTGACAGCTGTCACAGGAGGCTGAGCAAGCGGTGCAGGGAGGAGAGCTCAGCCTCCTGTGACAGCGCGGGCTGTCTTCGCCCACACAACGCTCTGCCGGACTGTCATAGGAGGCTGAGCAGTGTGGGAGGAGAGGCGCCGGCCGCTCACAGCGCTCTCCTCCCGCAGCCACACTTTTTCTCCTCCCCGCTGGGACACAGAGCAGCGCCCAGCGGTGAGGAAAGAAAGCAGGGATGCGCTGATGTATCGGCAGCGAAATTGTGCTTTCAGCATTTAGACAAGTGCCATTTTCGGCCGACATATCGGTGCATCCCAGGTAGAAACGGCAAATAATGAACATGTGGCATCCCCATGTACATCAGGAGTAGGAGAAATGTATTTGGGGTGGTAAATCATGGTGATTACAAGAACTATACGGATGTAGTTTACATTTCTTTTAATATTTTTTTTCCCTTTTACTAATTAAAAAAAAGCTGATAAACATTTAACACCAAAAAAGCCCAATTTGTCCTAAAAAAAAAAGTGTAATTAACCTGAATACAGAGTAGTTGCAAACATATGTACGGCTTTACTAACTCATGCCTATGTTGTAAACAGGGTGCAGTCATTAGTTTGTTTTACCTTTGTCATTAAGGGGTTAAAAACTGGCACCAAAAGGAAGAGTTTTTCATAGCAACCAGCTTTTGAATGTTATAATTCATGAAACATCTGATTGGCTGTTAGACCAAAACCTCTACTGTTCTTTTCTTTTCAGTTGTCCCCTGAAAGGAAATTGCCAAAATCTTTGGTTTTTAACTTGGTCCACAGGGACTCCTAGCAGTGCAGGACTATTTAGAGAGCATTACCACTGAAATAATTTACCACATGTTGATCCTTGTTGCTTGCTAAAGATAAGTGTGCTTTGAGAGAAGTGGGTTTTGTTTTTTTTTGGATGTGTAGTGTGCACAGACTAAACCTTTAATTTTTCCTGCGTTAGCCCAGCCAACTTAGCTGGAGATTTCATATGTTTCTAATTCAGAGTGCCCCAAAGCCATGACTGTGTGTGGCTGGGGAGGACCTAAGGTGAGAACTAATCCTCTAGAGAATCCAAGGTAATCTGTTTGCTTACAGTTTGCCACACCATTCATTATATTTCCGCCAGGCACTATACTCAGTTGCAAAGTTTTACGGGATTCAAACTAGAACGATCCTAGGATCCAGATCACATTTATTCATGCACAATGTACCAGCAATGAGTTTCTGATGAACTTGTAAAGATTTTGTGGGGGGGTTGAGCATTGTTGTACACTTAAATTTAAAGGATCAGTTTTTTGTAAGAATGTTTTCTGATTTCAGTTTTTCCAGTTGGTAAGTATGATTGTGTGTATGTATGTATAATTTTAATTTTTTTTTTTTAAATTATTGTACTGCCTGTTGTGGTTTATCAATTTCAGCAACAAGTTAAAAAAAAACCAGAAAAAAATTAAATGACATGTGTAAGCACCCTGGGCAGCATTCATTTGTTCTATCCCCTGCCATTGCCACTTGTTAAACAGCTTGGTTTGCATGTAAACTTTGAGAAAATATAATAAAGGAATGTGAAATAAAACAAATATACAGTGTATATACCAAATGCTGTTATATGATAACCACATACAGTTATCAGAATGCAGTATTTTTGTGATTTAATCAAGCTTATATTATTTACTATACACTACTATGTAATGTCAGCTTCTGAAATACATCCATTTCTTTCTTTCTAGCATTTAGGTGTGCTTACTGCTATTTCCTTAACCCTGCAAGAAAAACCCGTCCACAAGCACCACGACTTCAAGAACTGAACCTAGAGAGAAGGCCAAGAATGGAGTTACAGGATTCTGCTAGCACTATGCAAGCTGCTTCAGATGAGGTTGAAAACCAAAGTTCTTCAGGTATGACGACAATATGAAAGCAGCTGTATTGTTTCATCTATGTGATATCCAAAACTATATGTAACTAAGATTTTAAGGATTGTTATATTTCTCTTGGTTTAGAAATGACTAGGGATCAGTAATTCTCCAGGTAAGTTTTGGTAAAATTCGGACATAATGGGTAAATTCGTTGGTGTCAGTGGGAATTTTGTTTCAATGGTTCCTGAGTGTAAGGAAGTTCTTTCGACTGTCTGTGACCTGTTTTTGTGCCACAAAATGATCACTTGTTAGGATGCTGATATAGAGGTGCATGGTTGGTGACGGGTGCACTGTGGACATGGGATGCAGAGGTGAGCTGTGAACTATGGGTGCGCCACTCCTTCCTTCTTCACCAGGGTAGTTATTAACTTTGTATAGGTCAGGGGGAGGGAGGTTGATTAAGAATTAAGCTGCTTCCAAAGAGTGTCATGGCTGTAAGTTTGAGAGCTGCATTAGGCCAAGGCTGATTGTATTTAGTATAGGTTTAGGCTAAATCATGTCACAGACATGACTCCCGGAGACAGATGCATCATGTGATTTGTAGTTTCACCACAGCTGGAGGGCCGGAGTTTGGCTACCCCTGGTTTAGATTATCTGTTTCTTTGCCTACACCACTGTGTCCCTGTTCCTTCAACTTCCCCTCACTTGGTTATCCCCAAGGCACCTGCTAGGAGCTGAACTTCCTGTTTCCCTTCTTTGGAGTGCAGTTTACTTGTATTCCTCTGCACCATTCACCAGCTTCTAGTAAAGTTTGACTGGCTCCCTCTCCCAAAGAGGTTTGCTCCATGCACAGGTAATTTCAGCTCATTATGCACTAGTGGACCTGGGAGAAGGATGTGAAGAGATCCCCACCTCCCCAAATAGGGGACAGCCATATAAAAGTCTTGATTAGCCATCTTTTGGGCTGCTCATACAGTAAATTTTAAGTTATTTTGACATCGGGGAGGGAATAAATAGCCATGTTTCCGTGTTTGCAGAAGATACAAAAATAGGGAGGGTACTAGAAACAGATCGTGACAATATAACATTGCAGGAGGACCTGGATAACTTAGGGGAGTGGGCAATACTATGGCAGATGAGGTTTAATGTCGATAAATGCAAAGTAATGCACTTTGGACATAAAAATAAACAAATAGGCTATACAATCATGGGTGTGCCGCTAGGGAAGTCGGAAATAGAAAAAGATTTGGGGGTCATTGTAGACCACAAACTGAATGGTAGCTTGCAGTGCCAAGCTGCGGTAAACAAAGCTAGCAGGGTCTTGTCCTGTATTAAGAAGGGGATGTATTGCAGGGACAAGTCTAATTGTGCCTCTATAGATCGTTGGTTCGGCCACATCTGGAGTACGCGGTCCAGTACTGAGAAGGGATGTCCTTGAACTGGAGAGAGTCCAGCGGAGGGCAACAAAACTAATTAGGGGAATGGAGGACCAGAGCTATGAGACAAGGCTTCTGACCTTAAACATGTTTACGCTGGAATTAAGGAGATTAAGGGGGGGATATGATTTTCATGTACAAGATGTTCAATGGTGACAGCAACATTGGCAACAAACTGTTTGAGATTAACTCCATTACAAAGACTAGAGGCCACCACCTAAAGTTGGTGGAGAAAAAATTCCAGCACAATCGGCGAAGAGGGTTCTTTACAGTAAGAGTGGTTAAGGTCTGGAACTCCCTGCCATCGCCAGTGATTTTAGCCAAGAGTGTAGATTTGTTCAAGAAACGTTTGGACAATTTCTTGAGGGACTGTAATATCCAGGGATACCAGTATCCCTAAGAATGAGATGATGCGTGGACCTATATGGGTTGGACTTGATGGACGTGTGTCTTTATTCAACCCCAAATACTATGTAACTATGTAATTTTCCATGTTTGCTGAGAAGGGTTTTCTTTTTTGGACCATAGTATTACCAATCTTTTAGATTCAGCGTTAGATGATCAATGCCTTTTTATCTTTGTCTTAGATCCATCAGAGGAAGGAGAGACCCCAAGTCCTTTAGAGCCTGAGGATGTTGTAGAACGTGAGGAGGCTCCATGCACTGATGACTTACCTGGTGATGCAGAAAATGCCGAAACCCTAGAAAACGCAGAAACAAGCGAAATCCTAGAAAACGCAGAAACAAGCGAAATCCTAGAAAACGCAGAAACAGGCGAAATCCTAGAAAACGCAGAAACAGGCGAAACCCTAGAAAACGCAGAAACAGGCGAAACCCTAGAAAACGCAGCCAAGACGCCAAGTGATGTCAATATAAATGAAAGTGAAGATTCTTTTATGGACACAGAGTGAATGTCACATGTGCCTTCATTAGTTTATGGCAGCTTACTTATCACAAGTTGATGGCTTCTAGTGGGATCCCATAAGTTACACACCATTCAAGTCATCTTAGCTCTGCTCACTACCAGAAATTTGTGGCACATTTATGAAACGTGTACTGCCATATAGCACTTGGGAAAGTATACTTGGCATTTAACCTTTTTGTCCTGCTAGAGTTGGCCTAAATGTGCTGCTGGTCTGATAACCTAGCATGAAGAAAATGTACACAAACGTTTTTATTTTTGAGTATTTTAAGGTAATAAGCTTTCAGGTTTATTTATTTTACATATTGTAGTGGAAACGCTGGGAAATTTTAGTTAAACTGATTTTGTACCAGGGATATATTCTAAATTGCAAATGTATGTGAAATGTCTGGATGGAAACACGGACCACTATTGTTATGTACAGTGTCTGCTTGCTGCACAAACCTCTCCAAGGAAAATGTCTTTTTATTAAATTAACAGAACACGCAACAGTATTTATAATGCAGATTCAGCAGGAAATGTCTAGGTGTCATTCTGGGACGGTACAGACCAGATACATGTATTTGCAGTTTGAGTCATGTTTACATAATGTAACATAGAAAGAGCTTTAATTGTACTTGAATACTGAGCTATATTTATACTTGTACAATGATAGTTCACAAGTCAGTTGTTGTGCCTTGTGTGTTTGTGTGTGGTTTTTTTTGTGTTACTTGTAAATAAAGTCTGATTTATTAGCATTTCTGCTTAAAAGTTATTCACAGAAATATTCACAGAAATATTCCCTATGTGGCTACCTACAACGTGTGTGTTTTGGTGTACTATGGATGTTTCAACTTTTAGGTTTAACACTTTATGTATAATATTTCCTTTATTGTTTCTATATATAACAATATAAACATGTAAACATCCTGTTAAAAGACTCTCCCAGGGAGAAATCCAATCAAAAACAGAAGAGTTATTCATAACTTCTTCCTAAAACAGCCACCATAAATTTCCCTTCCTATTGATATTAAAACCATTGAGACCATAGGGGTCTTAACTAAAATAAAAAGCAAGGAAAATAACCCAAAATCCCTCCCATCCCTAAACCACCCAAAAAAAACAAGATGAATAGGAAACTTTACTTTTAGGACATGCTCATGTTTAGGCCAGAACAGTTTGCATCCCAATGTATCCCTATGGTATTTCTGGGCTCTGATCACACCAGCACAGTCTTTTCTGGTCCAGAAAAAAAAATATTGCTGGTCTTTTTCTGTAGTCTGGAATACACTGAAACACATGCAAACGCACTGGACTGCGTTTGCAGATCTGGTCCAGTCATTGTGTGAACATACCCTTAAAGTGCATCTGTAACCTACAGCCACTGGAAGGGACTTCATATCAACTAAATGTGCATGCAGGCTCCAGGCATGTTTAGATGAAGACTGGCTGGTTGGTACATTTGCTCCTTTTTATATTTTCTATCTTGGCTTCAGCTGTTGCTCATATACAATCATACTGAGAAATATATAGGTTGCCCGACTCTCATAATCCAGTTTCTTCAGAACATTGTTACTTACCCAAAATTTTGCAGATCATGTGCTCTAACTTCAGCTGCTGCGGGCATATTTTTGATCAGTGAATACTGAATCTGGAAGCAATTGGGCTACTAGAAATTTCAGAAGGTCAGTGGTGTTGAGCTGGGGCTTGTGCCAACCCAGTTTGCAGAAGTCCGCTCAGAATTTTGATGGACACACCCCTGTGCTCGCCCAGTCTGTTACGGCAAGTTCATTCCCTGCCCCGCAGCTACACATCACAAAAAGGGTGGGGGAATGCCTCTGCTGCAACTAAGTAGGTTGGCACCAAGCCCCAGCTCATCGGTAGTTAGCAGTGGCAGCTTATATTATGGTCACGTGGGTATCCTTTAGCAGTTGAAAGACAAAAGAGACCACAGCAAACTGACCACCAATTCCAACCAGGGGAACCAGACTAATTCTTAAAATGGCAAAGCAGTCCTTTGGACACATTACCAGTTCACTTGTGGACACCACATACATATGGGTTGCGTTACATCTGACTGGGCTCTTTCCCTCACTTTCTATTATCCTGGTTTAATATTGCTGCAGATGGTGCTGAGGATTATGGTACATGTATCCCACACCACAGGTAATACAAAAAATGAATAAAGTACTATATTGGGTCACAGTTTCAAGAAAGTATAGTATATGGTGGAATATGGGCCTTATAAGTGGGCTAGTAAGAGGTCAAATGGGTCTATATGCTAGCTTGCTGTATGTCGGGTGGATTGCAAATATTTGTAGTAGAGCAAATCTCACCCTCTACAGTGGCAGAGCCGGATATTTGCTTATCACTAACATAATGCTTGGCCTCTGTCCCATCATTTTGTTAAACTAGAGATCTTTGCACAGATGCTCAAGTGAATTTGTTTTGTAAATGTATGCGTTGTGGTGGCATTAAAAATGAATGCCAATGCATCCCAAAACGCAAATACTGTGTTATAACACATGTGTGAATATGGCATAATTGCTATGGAAAAGGTGATGGAGCATACTGGTGTCCGTCCATAGCGGTGCGTTTTTAAATGCCGTTACACTTTAGAAGGAAATGTTTAATCTGTTTACAAATGGGGTATTGTTTTAAGGGGGGTGTGGCCCGCACTGGGCGACACCAAAATGACAGGTTTTTTTGGTATCACCCCCTCTGAAAAGTCGGGCATTCGGTCATGAACCTGACAGTTTCACAAGTAGGAGGGGACCCGGTGGCATACCTTATCCCCGCCAGGTGAACTTCCTCTCTTTGGCGTCCATCACCTAAATGGCCACCGGCAGGTAAGCGTGCGTGACTACGTCCCAGAGGAGAGTCGCCTAGCGGCCTCTTCAGGTGACACCGTGCCTGCTGGCGCCCTTGTTTTTCTTAATTGTTTGTATTATAACAAGCACCAGGGAAAAAGTTATGAAATGGATCAAGCCCCGCCACTGTTACACAAAAACAAGCACTGGTATCCAGCCCGTTATATCATGTCATGCAGTCCAACAGAAGTCTGTTTTAGTTTCATATGCTAAACCTTCATTTAGCATGTTCATGCATTGCCAATGACGTCTAAAATTATCTCATCCACTCTTGCAGCTGCTTTGTGTAAAATGTTTTTCATATTTATCATTCGGCAAGTGTAACATTCTTCAGCAGTCACATTCAGTCTGCCCTATGAAAGGAATCTTGAGGTTTGAACTTTGTACATACAATGTAAGATGTTATCACCAAGGACATCCAAGTGTATTTACCAGCCAGGACTTTATGCCTTGTACTGAACTCTCTTAAAAAAGAAGTTTGTGTAGTGAAAGCAATAGCAATGTTATGCTACTTAGGGTGATTATATTGCAGGTCTGAAAACTGAAACCCTATTATAAAGACTATAAAGTTTTTGTCTGGCCATTTTTTTAAAATATATATTTCTAAAGCAAATGTTTTTAAAACGTCCACTTTCTGATCATTTTTAGTGATTTTTTTTTTTTTTTTTTTTTTTAGATTTACTTTAACAAAACAAAAAAAAAACTTGTGCTGAGCAAGAGATGGGGACTGACCTCTAAAATAAATGCTAGTGCTCTGGCTTTCATACTGGTATGGCAGTGCAGTGACTTATTGACTTAGAATAGGTATGTAATTCAGGAATGCTTCATAATTGTGGTCACTAACTAATAAAGATACTGAAGCCAGCAGCAGCCAGAAGACTGCCATTTTTAGTATGCCAGCAATGGTAGCACTCAAGTTTCTCAGTATTTTTTTTTAGGGTATCCTCAAAAGAAGAGCATCCAGTGTGTTTTATTTGTATTTTTATACTTTTTCTGTGAACGCTCTCCTGGTTGGCAGAAGTAGTAGAAGGGACAGACACTAGACTAAAGCCCATCTTTGGGCAAACCAAAAATAAACTACCCTTCCAGTGGGGCTAACCCGCACTACAAGGGTTATCTGCTTGTTCATGCCTATGGAACAGGGAAAAGCTGTTTTACTTGCCTGATCCCTGTTGAGTATTTGTTTATTTCCATGCATTGTCCTTTTAAGAAAATGTTATTGCATTACTGCTTTAAGATATTGTAGGAGATTTAATAGGAAGTGTGTTTAATAAAGAATGAAGACCTGTTAACATTCTGTATATATTCCTGGGATACAACAATGGTGACAAGGACACCTGAACCCCCTCTGTACAGCCTCCAGAAATGTTTCCGCAGTGCCCTGTGATCTCTGGTGTGACCAATTTTGCAATCTACTTACTGGCATCTGATGTGGATGTGTGTCTCCCCAAAAAGAAAGGGGGCCTTGCTGCTTAACTCATTGGGTTCAGAAGGCTAGAATTTCTTTTCTCTGGGAGAAGATTCTTTATACGCGCCCACAGTACTGGAAACATGTTTTAAGGTCCCCACACACCTTGCGATAATCGTACGATAATCGCAAGAAATGCTGCGATCGTACGATTATCGTAAGGTGTGTGGAAGCTGTGCGACCTCTACTACTGTAAGGTCGCATGACTTTTAACTTACGAACATGTTCGAATTACACATGCTACACACCCGCCGAACATCGTACGATGCTCGGCGGGTGTGTAGCATGTTCGTACGATAAAAGCCGGACGGGCCAGTGTGTGCAAGCGCACACTGCCCGTTCGGCATTGCGGTCATCGGAAGCCCGCCCCTCAGGGGGGCGCCGCTTGCGATCATCGCAAGTACGATCTGCCTGTCCAAGATAGGCAGATCGTACGTTTTTTTTTTTTAAGTACCTTACAACCATCGCAAGATAAAAGTCTTGCGATGGTTGTAAGGTGTGTGCCCAGCATTAGTTTGTTTTTACCAGATGTGCATGGCAGTGCAGGAGGCCAGTAATATGCAACATCCCTCAGAGGGTAATGAAGCTTCTGTTCAAGTACAAAAATAGGGCGCACAAACTGCATGTTTCAACTGTGGAGGTAACCGCTATAAAGGAGGCATGAAGTTGCACCCTGCACAATGCAAACTCTAGCCGCTGGGCAAAATAAACCACTATGCTAAATGTTGCCATTCCACATCTAGCATATCTGTTTGCAACTTAGAGCAGTCTGATCAGGAGCCTGATGACATGCAGGTTTATGCAATTGGAAAGGATCAGACTAATTATATACTCTGTCACTGTGTAATTGCCAATGTCAAAGTTCTGCTGCTGGAGCAAAGGTTTTCATTTTGAATGCAGAATCTTACAATGCCCATTTTCGTTATTACCCACTCCAGGGAACACTGACAACTCTAACATGCTACAGTGGTACCCAAATTTCAGTGCTGGGTATGATCGTGTTACCTGCCACACACCAAACAAGCATTTGGGCAGTTTTGACCTTTTATGTCACTGAGTGCAGCCAACATTTTAGGACTTGACTTGTTTCAGGCACTTGGCTTTAAAGTCCTGGGTCAAGCAAATGCTAAAATATACCTGGTGGACAGTGTGGAAGGAAAAATACCTGCCAGACGTTACTGGATTGGGTCGCATACACAAATGGTCTCATAATCCTACTCTGAACCCTCGGATATCTCCAGTGCTGCATCCCCTGCACAGGCCTCCCTTGGAAATTCAGAATGCAGTCGAGGAAGAGCTACAAAAAATTCTGCAAGAGGATATTATAGAACTTGTTGACTCTTCACCATTTGTTTCCAACCTAGTCATTGCAAAAATAAAAGGTTGCCAGATTTGATTGTGTTGACCTTTGCCT